TTGCTGCACCTCATGAAGGAGGTCCACCGTGGTGTTTCTACTTCCTCAAACCCAGTCCCTCCGCCACCCGCTGCAACCTGGTTTCTGCCCACCACACTGTTCCCTTTACATATTGTTCCTGTGCCGGGCATGGATGACCTAATCTTATTTGACATCCCTACAGTGTTGGCAGCCTCCTTTGCCTTTTGTGAGTGTGAATAATAGTGTGGCAGTAAAGAGTGCTGGCTCAGGAGATGGACTACCTGAATTCAAAGTCCAGCTTCTACCTGTGTGACCTTGGGCAAGTGACTTAATCTCTCTGAGCTGCACTTTCCTCTTTTTTAAAGGTACTCATAATAATGGTAGGTACTCATAATAATGGTAGGTTACACAATCAGGTACCTTAGATTAGATGAAATGTGGTACCTTCCTAAACAGAGATTAATGGTGTTTCTCACTGTTAAAAGCCTTAGCGACTCTCTTTTGCCTGGAGTATGAAGTCCAACTAAACTTAGCCACAAATACAGGGCCCATTCCCATCTTCCCACTCTCTCCCCCAATTCCACTGACACCAGATCACAGTGATGACCCAACAAACTACTCTCGCCACTGCAGGGGGCCAGTTCAGAAGGGAATATGGGGGGATGCTGTGCTGTGGCTTCTTTTACATAAGTCAGCAAGCTGGACCTGTGTTCAGAGCTTTACCCCTCCCTGAGTTATGGCTTGAAAATTATGTTTCAAAAAGAAATAAACTATTAAATTTTCAGATTTTATCTTACGAAGATAGGATAATTTTGAAATTAAATGGCATTTAAAACTAGGATTAAATATGGGAAATAAAGAAAAAGAACATGTTTGGGGAAAATAATGTTATTTCATACATGTATAAGTATTGTTCAATATGCAGATATTTCAAACCCATATTTAAATGGTTTCTAAATTTTGTAATAGAGCTGATTTCCACAAGAAATGCAATACTTAATTCAAGTATAATTTTGCAATAAAGATTTGTTATGGTGTTCTTAAACTTGGTTGTTGTTTTTGATTAGTTTGTTTTTTACTCTTTATTTTGAAATAATTATAGACACAGGAAATTACAAAAATAGTAAAAGAGGTTTTATGTACTCCTGAGATTGGTTCTTAACAGATGCTAGAAACCAATATAATAAAAAATGTCCATACATTTAAAAGTTCAAAGAAAATTTACTAAAGAGGGGTTTTATGCATTTTATATATATTCCTGGGATAAATTCCACTTGGTCACAATGAATTATTATTTTTATGTATTGCTGCATTCCATTTGCTTATATTTTGTTAAGGATTTTTGTGTCTATGTTCACAGGTATACTGGTCTGTCATTTCATTTCCTTAGATGCCTTTGTCAGGTCTTGATATCAGGGTTATGCTGATATCATAAAATGAATTTGAAAACTTTTCCTTTTTCTCCCTTTTTGAAAGAGTTTATGCAAGATTTATATTTTTTCCTTAATCAATAATTTGCAAGTGAAATCATCTAGGCATAGGGTTTTCTTTGTGGCAAGCTTCTTATAGTGAAATTCAATTTCTTTATAAAACATAGATTATTTAGATTTTCTGTTTCTTCTGTGTCAATTTTGGTAAGTTGTATTTTTCAAAGAATTTGTTCATTTCACCTGTTTTCAACTTTATTGGCATAACGTTGTTCATAGTATTTCCCTATTACCATTATAATGCCTGTAGGATTGGTAATGATAGCCTTTCTTCCATCCCATATATTGGTAGTTTGTATTTTCTCTCTTTTTAAAAAATTGATCAGTCTTGCTAGGGGTTTATAAATTTTGTGAAACTTTTCAAAGAACCAATTTTCAAGTTTGTTAAAAATCCCTACAGTTTGTTTTCTAATATATTGATTTTCTGTCTTTATATTTATTTTTTTTCTACTTTCTTTGGGTTTAATTTCCTTATTTGTTTTTCTTTCTAAAGTGATAATTTGGATAATTAACTTTAAACCTTTCTTCTTTTCTAATATGATCAGGTTAGTGCTATTAATTCCTCTCTAAGCACTGCTTTACCTGCACCCTATAAATTTTGAAATGTAATATTGAATTTTCATTAACATTCAATTTGAATATTTTCTAATTTCTCTTAAAATTTCTTCTTTAACCCATGGTTATTGAGAAGTATGTTATTTAATATCCAAATACTTAGAATTATTTAGTTATTTTATTAATTTTTAATTTAATTCCATAGCTGTCAAAGAACATACTCTGTAAGATTTCAATCTTTTGAAATGTATTAACATAAAACAAGTGTGTAACTTACTTTATAGAAAGTGGAAAGTGGCCATCAAAGAGGTGTAGATCAAAGTGGCCATGGGAGTTAGACAAGGGGAGGGAAATTCCAACTAAAGTTAATCATGGAAGGCTTATGAAAGGAGGTGGCATTTGAGCTAGGTCTTGAAGAATGGATAGGATTAAGAAATAAGGAGTTAGAGGAAGGAAAAACTACATTTAGACTCAATTTTCCTTAAAAGGAGAAATTAGCTTTTATGAAACCCAAGACCTCAGAGCACTGCTGCAAAAGTGACTACCAACCTATTGCCCCAATATTCTCCACTAAGTGTCCTTAAAACACCTGTTCCAAAACAACCACTTAGGTACTTCAAACTCTGAATCTGGCCACCTCCTGTGTTAGAAACTTAAGCGACACCACATATTTAAAACTAGCAATGATAACAACTAGATTTCATAACTTGAAAAGTATTTTTCTTTTCATTTTCAGGATACTCATCATTCTAAGATTTCCTTTTACGCCCACAGGTCTGGGAGTGTAAGAAGTAGGATACACTGGGAAGTCTGTATTCCCAGTCACAGCCTTTTCCTTTTGGGGAAGTTTGGAATTCTCAATGGCATCACTGGAGAAAAGCTCTACTTGTCACTACAGTCATGTGGCAAGAGTCACTCTTAGAAGTGTCACAGGAAACAGACAAGTGCCTTGTGGGGATCTATGTCATCTGAAAGTAGCTCCTGGTCAGAGCTCTCTGGGTGAATGAGGCAAATAAGTTTAGGCCTGAGTCCATTATCCTTCAGCCAAGCAACATGTAGGCCACCTTTCAGCTCTGCAGGCATCTTGGGGGCTTACAGCCACCATCTCAGAGCTCAGGGCAGAGATGGTGTTCTTTCCTACTTCACACGTCCTAGTCTCCAGTGTAGCGTTTATGGAAGTCCATCAAGTGACTGAGCAGGGCCCAGCTGAGCCTCCGTCTTCCCTGAGCTCTGCACTTTGCAGGCGTGGCCTTTACCGTGCACTGCCCTCTCAGAGGTAAGATGCTCGCCCTTATCTTGATTCTTTCTTAGGGACTGAGCTCCCAGTGTGGCCAGGTTGGTTTGGAATATTTTCTCAGATCTACTCTGACGTGTTAACACCCACATTCTCGCCTAAAGTTAACAATCCTGCCAGCCTTGCCAGACATCACGCACTTGCCTGTGTCACAGGTGCCCTGCGGGGGAGGGGGTTAAGGGCTGACCTGGGATAAGTATGAGCCCTTGACAGCGGATTCTCAAAAGACTGAGACGCTACACCAGTCTATCAAGACCTTCAGTTCCAGACAGAATCATTTAATATAATTCCTAGCAAGAAAAGCGTAATCCAAAATCAGGTTTAGGGTTAGTCCTCTGTGGGTCTGATGAAACCTATTGGAAAAAATCAGCTTTCTGTTTCATTTGGTCTTGCTGAAGTCAGTGTCCTCTGGCTAGAGGCTGATTTTGGACACACTAGCATGCCTGCCCACGTGTGACACATTTCAGCCATGTGTTTACGATGAAACCTGCAGCAAGGTCCCCACCGCTAGTGAGTGGCCCCTCCATGACTCTTGCAATTCTAAGGCTGTAAGAGCTCCCTAACCAGGATGGTGGTGAAGACGAAACTCTCCCCAGAATGCTTCTCTTCAGAGGCAACTGATGCTTTCGTGTCAGAGACATAGACAAAATGTGAGAGCAGAAAATGCCTCTTCCTCATCTCCAGTGATGGCATCTGATTGATTTTCAGGCTGAGTGATCCTGACAAAGCCTGCCAGCTCAGTTCTTAACACTGGACAGAAAACAGGCATCTGGTATCTCACCATCCAAGCACGGAGCTTGGATGAATATACGGGAGCCTCTGGGCTAGAGGCCCCACAAGGCTGTTATGCCTGGATGAATCTTAAGAGCGTTTAGGGACAAACACTTCAGTCTTGAGTCTGGTGCCTTCTTCCTGATGTGTTGCTTTATGTTACTAGTCCCCCCTTCAACTCGTCAATGACTTCCTTACCTACTCCTCCGTGTTTTCCTCTCTCTTTGCAGAGGAGGCTAATATTTGAGGACTTCAAGATTTGGAGGCTTTTAGACTCAGCCTGGAAACTAGAAAGAGGCCCAAGTGAAAAACAGAAATGCCTAATTGGGCCCTATGGCATATGTTTGTCAAGGGAGAAGAGGAGGGAATGCTGAGGACCCGAAAGGCCATGAGAGGGCTCCTTGTAATGCCTCCTACAATTTTTGATAACACATTTATATGCCAAGACAAATGCTACAGAAAGGCACGTTCCAAACGTAATGGGTTTGACAAGATGGGGTAATGTCAATGTCATACTTGTTTGAGATGTTTCCAGTATCTTCCCAGAACGTGCCCAGAGCAATAACTATTACAACAACGTCATTGAAACAGAAGTGCCCTGGAGTACTCCACCCTCCACTTTCGGGGTTAGGCTTTGTGTATTATCATACATTCCTGACATGTAATAGAACTCCCTCCTTGTATATAAGATGCTTGGGCTCCAACATAACTGGTTTGCATTTAAATGCCCAAATATGATTATATAACCTTGATTCAATTAACAGGTCTGACTTGACTTAAGCCTTGCTCAGGAATGAGCCAAATAGTCATCTAAATAATAATTAGAACAAGACAAACCAGGCTTTCTGGTCTCAAGTGTTGAGGACTGAAGGAACTTCGGAGTCACCAGATGGAGTTGAGGATGCAGAGATCCCAAGACTATGCTCACTCACCTTTGAGGTCCAGGGTTAATGATCTGGGCTTCACCCACAGTGGCCAGCAAGGGATCTGACAATTGCTCCCTCTTTCCAACTCAGCAATGATAAAATGGAGCCCAGGAGAGGTGATGTTTCCAGGCCAGGTTTATTCCATCAGCTGAAAGCAGGGTGAAGACTTAAGTTCAGCACAAAGGGCTGTAGAGTTTATCTCATTCAACCTCCCACCCAGTATAAGAACCTCTTACTGTCATCACACCTCTGCTTGGCCTCTGTGAACAACAGAAAGCCCACTACCTCCACCAGTCTTGGATGGCTCCAACTATGGTAAACACTTCCTTGTTTTGAGCCCAAACCCACTTCCCTATAACTTTCATCCAAAGATCCTTTTATCCTTATCAATGTCGTTTCTTAAATTCCTCTATTCCACTCCTTCAAAATAGATCCTGGATCTTAAAAAACTTGCTCTGCTAAGGTATCAGCAGCTTAGACTTGTGGTTTCTTATGAAGCCCAGTCATGGGCCTGCCTTGAATTTTGAATGTTTCAGCAGCCGTACCATTGAACACTACCACAGCCCCAGACCTGGCAGGGCTCAGGGGAATTAAGGAATCCAGAACTTTGCTGTATAAAGTCATTTGAAGACTAGAACAAAATTGGAGAGGAAAATAAAATAATTAATTACAGCCTTTGCCAACAGAATGACATGTGTTGATGAGACAATCTGAGTTGTTTTTCTGAATAGATTTTAGTATCAGTTTGACAGTGTCATTTATGAGTAGTTAAGGATGACATAGTGTGTCTTTCATAATATTAGACATGGATCTCACTGAGGGCCAGTTTGTGGAAGGGGAACCCAGATAACACAGTACCTTGATTAGATTTTCCATTTGAAGAGACTAGAATTCATCACAGTTTACACAATGCATGGCACCTGGGAGGCTAGGAGCTGTGTACCTGTCTGCCTTTGCCACCAGACTGTGAAGTCCTTGGAGGCAGGAAGCATGTCCCCTTCATCACTGTACCCTCAGGGTTGGCACAGGCGGGTTCTCAGTAAAGCATCTCTGGCCCACAGCCTCCGTGCGAGAAGGGCTTCGGCTTCTGAGGCGGGGCAGGTGCTGCCTTCAGATTTGGATTTCTCACCACAGGTTCACTGTCAACCCAGAATCCCTTTGCTTCCCACCTCTAGTTGTAAATCACTTAGAAAAACGTGTCTGGGAATCCCATTCTGATTCCCAGCACACCTCGTGTGCTGGGGTGCTGGTGAGTACCTGCCGTGGATGGTGAACTGGGTTCTGACACTATACTCCTGTCACCTCCCCCACCTTTTTTCCTGCCTCCCTCTGCTTCCTTCTCCACACTCAGTCCATGGGGCAGGAGAGAAGCCATAGTGGTCCTGGCACGCCCCAGGCTTCAATCCTGTCTTTGCAGGTATCAGATAGAGACCCTGGCTTCGAGACAACCAACTTAGGATTCAGCTTAGTCTGGGCCTGTAAGCCAACTAGGGAGAGAACGTCTATCACGAGTCCTTCACCTATAGACTAAGGGAGAAGGGTCATTATGGGACTACAGATGTCCTCAGGTGGTCTCTTTGCTGGCCTTTGCTCGGAATGTCCCTGGTACGTGGTGTCTGGGATGACCCCAGGATGGCTGGGTTGAGCCTGCCCTCTGAGAATGAGTGTGGTTGGAATGAAATGGGTGACCAGCTCCATTTCTCATTGTTCATCCCAGCCAGAGGAAGCGTTGTATAAGATGGCTCTGGTGGTATTAGCCCCCAGTTAATAATCTCCTTGCCTCATCTGCAGAATCATGACCCTTTACCCACCTGATCTCCCCAAGTCTCTTCCTCCACCCTGTCTCCACTCGTGCTTTACCCTCAGAGTACCTACTCTTTATCCTCAAACACACCATGCTCTTTGACACCATCGAGACTTTACTGTCCCTTGTATCTAAAAGAGCTCTCCCCAATCCTCTCCCAGCTGTCTACAGCCACCACTGATGTCACCTTCTTGCTGTAGCTTGCCACAACAAAGCAAAATTCATTCCTTCCTCGTCCAAATTCCCACAGCAGCACTCTGTCTGCCTATATTGCTTGTCATATGATATGAGAGCATTTGTTCCCGTGTCTGTCTCATGGTGGTTGGACAATGCACTCTTTGGAGGGGAGGGATCATTTCGTATCCCTATGAACATCCCTGGGGCCTGGAACATGGGAGGTGCTCCAGGGATGTTGTTGGAAAGTGATGAGAGCAGCAGCATTGGAAGATATTTTTTGTGCTCCAAGGGCCCTGGGAAGCTCCTCGGGACCAGGAACACAGGACAGGCTCCTGAGTGACAGGATCTCTCCTCCCTCTCTTACCACATTCTCCAGAGGGACTCAGCTTGGGTCCTGCAGGAGACAGTCCATCAGTTCTAGTGCAAGGAGGGTGTTCTGGGGGCAGAGTTTGGTTTGGGGGCTCAAAGTGTCCTTTGAAGGAAATCAAGGTTGTTTCTCAAATCCATACCTCCCTAAGCAGGAGGTACAGAGAGATGGAGTTGCCACTTACGATCTGACTGACTTTGAACATGTTACATAATCTCTCTGAGCCTCAGTATCTTCATCTGTACAGATGGGGAGATAATCATACCTCACGTTGCCGTGAAGATTAATAATTACTATTTGTTGGATTTACTGTAGCACTGCGGGCTCTATAAATATCAGCCGGTGAGAAAGCAATAGAGGCAGAATCAGAACCATTACACCATATGAAAAGGACATGGAAAAATGCAAAAGACTACACAAATGTTACTACAGTTATTTACTGAAAGTGCATTTAGACTTCAAAACCTTCGTCCTGTTAGGAACTGAAACTGGAAAAAAAGACATTTTTCCTGAGCCATGCTAAATAGTTGTTATAGGAAGTCCAAAGGTGAGGCGATGGAAAGGACGGCTAGTTGTCCACCAACAAATTGTGCCTCACCTTCCACAGGCTTAATTACTTCTGGGAAGTGGCTACCGAGCCAGGGACTACATTTCCCACCCTTCCTTGTATGTAGGTGGGACCATGTAATAGGTTCTCCTAAGGAATGTGATCAAATGAAAGGTGTCACTTGCAGGTTAAGATGGCTAAGAAGAGGGTGTGAAGAGCCAAAAGGTAAAAACAACCCAAGTGTCCATTAACGGATGAATGGATAAACAAAATGTGGTTTACACATATCATGGAATATTATACAGCCTTAAAAAGGAAGGAAATTCTAACAGGTGCTACAACATGGGTGAAACTTGAAGACATTATGCTAAACAAAATAATCCAGTCACAAAAGTACAAATATTGTATGTGTCCACTTGCATGGGTAGCCAAATTCATAGAGATGGAAAGTAGAATGATAGTTGCCCGGGGCTGGAGGAGAGCAGAGAATGGGGAGTTAGTGTTTAATGGGTATAGAGTTTCAGTTTGGGAAGACGAAAAAGTTCTGGAGATGGATGGTGATGATGGTTGTACAACAATGTGAATGTGCTTAATGCCACTGAACTGTACATTGAAAAATGGTTAAAATGGTAAATTTAATGTATATTTTATCACAATAAAAAAAAAGAAGAGGATGTGATTTCTCTACATCCGCCAGTTAGATGCAGAGGACTTTCAGGTCCTAGGATGGAAAGAGCCACATGATGGAAATAGCCACATGACAAAAAGCCACTTGCTGACTGGGAATCTGGCACTGGACTCTTACATGAGTGATAAGTAGACTTCTAATGTGTTAAACCACTGAAATCGGGGTTTAACTGTTACAGAAGCTAGTGGAATGCTGACTAACATGACCTGCGGCCGATACTCATGGCTGATGTCACAGCATGATACCACTGCAACACGGTCCTCTGAGAACAAGACACGGTCCTCTGAGAACAAGACGGAGGATGCCTTCAGAGCTTGGCTTGGTTTGGGGATGAGTAGATCTTTGTGCTGAGGGCCCATCTCCAAGTTCAGCAGTTCTCAAAGACTGAATCACAACCCCTTGGCTATGAGATGGATTCCAAGGACTTTGTTACTAAGGAAACCCAGAGGAGTCTGTCTCCTTGAAAGACACATAACTCATTCAGTGATAGGAACTGGCTGTGGGCTTGGGCTGTAGGAATGCAGAGGAGAATGGAACTGTGGTCCTCAGTCAGCCAGGGGCAGACATGGGAACCTGTCCCCATATGCTGTCCTGGCCCAGCCTGCCCAGGGGAAGTGGCTCCCTGTGGCTCCAGCTGGGCAGTAGCTTTAGCTGAGCATAGCATTCAAGGGGCCAGGGATTGTCCTGTCTTGGGCTCAAAGGACAATTGCCAGTGGAACCTGCACCAGGGCTGCTGGCTGTGCCACAAACTTGTACAGCAACAAGAAAAGTCCCAGTCTCAGGGTTAGAGGAAGTGTGAGCAACCAGGACAGGCTTTGGGGCTCAAACAAGGTCATGGAATTACAAACTGGCAGCAACAGCAGCAACCGTACAAGCTGTTGCCCAGGCTCTGGCCCCTCTGGCTTTGGCGGCCACCCAAGAGCCCTGGGTTTGGCAGTAACTGAGGAGCCCCCAGCCTGAAGGCATGCATCTGAGGTGGCACCAGTGGCCCAAGAGACCAGGAGTGACCACTGGGTTCCAGGTAATCATCCTGGGAACCTGGACTTCTTGGGCTTATCACAGGACAAGTGACCTGGGGAAAGAGAGAAGGTCATCCTTACAATAGAGGGGATGAAGCTGGAGCCAAAGTAATAGAACTGATGAAAGAGATGCAACTTCATTTCATTCTCAGTTTTGCAAAGAATTTACTGTTTTAATGAATTAGAGCAATTCAAGTTTACCATATAATGCCAATACTCTTACATGCATTCCTCCTGAGCTCCTAAGCTGGAGAGGAAGAGATGGAATGTGGGCTAGAGAGCCAGGGATTGCACACAAATTTGACGGTTGTGTCAAAATCTGGCAGTGTCTGTGGGGTGACTCATGCAGGTAAAGGTCATGTGAGTTGCGTTAAAATAAAGGTTGAGAATGATTGTATTTTCTAGATTTTTTTCAAGGATTCAATGTTTGTTAAATGCATGCATGCCTCCCTGTCCTTGTCACCATAGCTTCAAATCTCCAGAATTCTCTCCGTAGTGGCCATCAGCACTGCTGTTGACTCTTAGCTCTTTTCAGCTTATCCTGAGCATTCACCATGTGATGTGACACCAGGCTCTGAGGCATTCAGAGATGACAAATGGCACAACAGTCAAAGAAAGAAGTGCCGACCCTGCCTTTCTCTGCATCCCGTCTCTTGGAGTCATCCCCCCATTTGCCTACAGGGTAGTGTCTGTTTCTTTCTCCACCTCTTGGCTAATGTTTGCATTTTCCTTCACTAAGGCCCAAGTGGTGTGGAAGCACCTTGCCTAGGGTCTGAGCCTTATTTTTAAAAAGCAGTTCTGACTTCCCTGGCATTTTGCACATTCTTATGCAACCTCAGCCTGGGCCTTATACAAAAGCCCACTGATAAGCGTATGAAGCCAGCCTTTAAAATGGTGCCAAGGCTGCCTGGGTCCCTTGCTGCTTCCTGGGAGCTGGTCCCAGGGCCAGTGCTGAGCACCAGGCCTCCCGCCTGCCTGACCTGGGCAGGGCCCAGCTGAGAATGGAAGCCCTTGGGAAAGGGAGGCCCATTGACTTTTGCCAATTGGAGGCTGAGGCAGAGCTGCCAATCTGGAATCCCAGTCCCACAACATAACGATACTCTCCTCACCACTCACTTGCCAGGATGACCCAGCAGCCCCTCTCCGGCTGTCAGCGCTCACCTGCATGGGAAGCACTCACTGGGTCACAGGAATATTTTCCCATTCCCTTCAGCACCAGGGTGGGGTGGTGGCTGTGGTGACTTGAGGTCATTCAGGGCCCTGCCTGCTCAGTCTCCTCTGTGCCTCCTGCCCTCCTGCTGCCACTGGGAATGGGCTGAACCATTCCTGACACCTGGAGTTGAGCAACACTGCAGGGATGCCATGGGAGAATGAGGATAACCAAGGTGGGCTCATCATGCCTCACAAAACGCAAAGCATGTGAACCCCAACCTAAGGCCCACTTCCATGAGAAGGCTATTGCCTTGGGTGGGAGGGGGAGAGTAGACTTATGTTCTTGGGATCACCCCTGCTGCCTAGTTTCTGCTTCTGCTGGATTCTTTCAGTTCGAGTCACGTTGCGACCTGCGTGCACCGTCCTGGGTCTGCACCCAGATGTGGAACTCAGGCCCTTGCTTCAATTTCCACCAAAACCAAACCAACCACCCATGGGAGGCCTTTGTGTGTGTCTGCTGAGGTTCTATTCAGACCAAGGGGGTTTAGGCTGCAGCAATTCAAACGACTTCAAAAGGAATTTTTGATCTTTAATGATCCTCTTTGAGGCTGCCCCACCTCCGGAGATTTTTCACTGGCCAGACCACCCCACGTTGCTAATCAAGACCATGTTTCTCAAAAGTGTGGTTCATGAGCCGCCTGCACCAGAATTCCCAGTGTGGAAGTGGGGTCTGTTGGGGGGAGTGTGTGTGTGTGTGTGTGTGTGTGTACATGTGTGCGCGTAAGAGAGAGACAAGGGGAGTTTGTATTTTGGCTTGTTTGTTTGGATTTTGTTTTTTTGTTAGGACTCCTGTTTGTAAGGGAACCTTTACCTTTGGGGCTTTTTTCCTATGTTATTTACAGTGCCCACTCCCTAGAGTGATCTCTTAGACCACATGCACAAAATCCAAAGAGTTGAAAGGAACAATGAACACCATCTAGTTCAGGGGTCTTCAAGCATTTTGCTTTCATATCCCTCAAAAGAATCGTGAGACACCATGCACTCCCCTCAAACATTTTTATGTTGGTATCTAAAATTTTTCATCTTAAGTTTAAATTACTACAAAAGATTAAAGTCCATTGTAAATGTGAAATATTTTAATAGTTTAAACATTTAAAAATTACTATTGTCACTCATTTAAATGTATCCAAATAGAATTTAAACACTAAAGTAACTGATACCCTCCATCATCCTTTTAAAAATATCATGAATGCTCTCTCCTTTAACAGTCAGAAATTTTACATTATTTCTTTATCTCCTTGAGTTTGTATTTCCATTTCTCTTCCCCATAGAACTTTACCCTAATATAACATAAATTTATGATTTAAATATTTTATTAATCACCTTGTCATAGTTCTCTTAAAAATGTATACATTATACTCCAATAAAGATGTAAAAAAATTTAAAATATAAAAAACAAAAATGTATACAGATTCAAATTTAATTTTTTTCCTTTTCTGTGGCCATAAAGCTCTAAAGCTGTGCTGTCCAATACTGTAGCTACTGGCCACATGTGACTATTAAAATTTTTTTAATTAAATAAAAATTGAAATTCGGTTCCTCATTCACACTAGCCACATTTCAGGCATTCAATAGCCACACGTGACGCATGGAAATTATATTGGATGGAGCAAATAGAAAACATTTCCATCATCACAGAAGGTTCTATTGGACAGCGCTGGTCTACAGCATGAAGATTTTCTTCCAGAATGAGTTATCATTACAATTAGTAGTAACACACAATTCATCAAAATAACATAAATATATCACACAATTACTAAATATTTTGATAAAATACTATTATCCCAAAGAATTTTATTAGGAAATGCTTGTCTTAGTGAGAAAGCATTGGTGCTGTTTTATCCATATATCCATGGATGAATACTACTCTCTCTAGAATAAGAGTGGGTTCAGCCTCCATTCTAGCTTTAATTTTTCACTTTTAAAAATATAAGTGCCAAGAAAACTTGCTCAGAATGGAGGGATTTTATTGTAGTGGTATTATTTGATTCTCTGAACTCTTTCCGAGTTCATGCATAATGACAATATTATTATTAATCATTTATCATGTGATATTATTAAATGTTCATTAGCTTCTCCTCCACCTTTGTTAAAATGATGGGATAATATCTGATTTGCAAACGGATTTGTAATCCTATCTTTAGAGTAATTTACTTTCTCAGCTAGAACCAGTACTTTGAATTGTTTCTTTGGTTGGAGTCTGGAGATTTTTACCAATGACAAAATGACAGGATGGACCACATCTTTCTTCTGAAAAAACATGGGAAAAGGACACTTTGAAAAGAGGAAAGGGGAAAGGAGAATAGCTCAAACACAGGAGTATTCTCAGGGAGACAAGTTTCAGTAAAGAGGACATCTGGAAGTGAGCATCTAGAAATTAATTCTTTAATAGAATCTGTATTGGAAACTTTTAGTATGTGTTCATGGACCCTGGGAATATGCTTACCCCAGTTTAAAGACCAGGAATTCCAAATGTTTTTCAGTTTAGCTCTCACACTCTCCTCTCTTGGTCTCTATTTTCCTTTATCCAAATATATGAATTTGTACATCACAATTAAAGGCTTCTTCTTTTTTCTCTCCCTTTTTGTTTGTTTCTTTCTAATATTTTATACCTAAAAAAGAAATAAACATACATATATATTTAAATAAGACATATATACATACATAGTATATAATAATAAGCATAAATTTATCTATAAATTTATATGTATATAACAATCAAGCAAATACCTATGAACCTACCACTCCACTTAAAGCCAAATGGTCCTAAGGAAGTAGAACAATACCAAATGACCCGAATGTCTCAGTTTCCCTCCTTCTGGGCACATGATCAGATGGCACTTCCCCACTCCGTTGAAGTTACACATGGCCATGTGACTTGCTCTGGCCAATAGGATGTAAGCAGAAGCAACAAGTGCCTCTCCTGGATGGCCTTTAAGAGCCAGTGCATGCCTTGTCATGTTCCCTCCCCCCACCACACTTACTAGAGACACACCAATTGGTGGAGTCCCTATTAGCTGGCCCATAATGAACCTCTGTTGTAACCAACCCATTGAGATTTCAGGGGCTGTTCATTACTGAAGCATAACTAGCTCATCATAACTGAAACAGAAATATCTCTGAAACTTCATGTATATCCTTTGGCAGTGGTATTCCTTTCCCTCTTCCCCAGAGATAAACACTATTCTTGCTTTTCTTTAAGGTTTTGCCATATATTTTTATCACTGAATAATATATTTTATGTTTTTGATCTCTATAAATATGAAATCATATTTTATTGTTTTTTGTAAAGTATTGTCTGTGAGATTCAGCAATACTATGAATATTTCACAATTTATTTATCAATTCTACTATTTATAAACATTTAAGTTGAGTTTCTTTTTGCTGTTATGAATAATACCACTCTGAACATGCTCGTATATATCTACTGGGATAGAAGTAAGAAATGTTCTCTGGAATAGCAGAGAACCTCTGGGAGCCCCTGAGATGATCTCAGCGGGGGTGTGGGGGGTGGGCAGGGGAGGTCTGTTAAGTCAAAACTATTTTCATAATAATACAAAGGGGTTTTTTGGCATTTTTACTCTCAAGCTCTTATAAGTAAATGGTGGAGTTTTCCACCACATGAGATATCACAACACACAGATGCAGAAGCAGATATGAGAATTCCAGCTGTCTTCTATTAAGTCAGATTTGCAAGACTATAAAACAATGCCACTCTTCCCACTGTTTTGTTTTAGAAAATATATTTATTTTTCATAAACGTTATTTGTTAGTGTGTAATGAGTTTTTATTGTTACTTTTAAATGAATTAATAAGTTTTTGAATTCTTAGGTTTAATTTCTAATATGGTAAATATTGGTCGATATAACCCATCCAAGCAAAAGTTATTTGGGGTCCTGAACAATATTTCAGAGTGAAAAGGGGTCCTGAGACCAAAAGGTTTGAGAATTGCTGCTCTAGGACAAATAACTAGGAATGGAATTTCTGGGTTGGTTTTGCATTTTCGTCTTCCCTGTATAACGACAAGTTCTCCCAAGTGGTTGTACCAAGTCACCTTCCCACCAGCAACACCTGAAAGTTCCTATAGCAGCATAGACGATACACCTTCTCAGAAAGCCTCGTGAAGCGGGTGGGTTTAAAAAGCATCCACTCCTCCCCCTCTGCCTTCCCCTGCCCTCACACAGGTTTTCCAGGTGGGCTTCCCAGGTGAACCAGATTAACAGTCCACTTCCTGAAAAGAGGGGGCTCCCTTGGCTCTGGAGGCCACCGTGAGGCTCTGAAGTCAAAGAGATTATGAAATGCCCCAACCCACCAGGGACAGCTGTGGGTTGGGGTTCTGGACAAGAGGATGAATTATTGCAGACTATCCACTTAGGGTCTCGTTGGAACCATGTTGATTTTACACCTCTCTGCAGTTATAAATGTGTAACTCCTTTCCCCCTCTTCATCAAGGCCCCTTGCTCCCCCTCAGAGCTTTCCTTCCCTGAGTTCACCTTGCCGGAGCAGTCAGCCAAGGCAGATTGTCTGCACGTCTGTATCCCTTACCCTCCCCAGCCTAAAAAAGCCCTGAAGAGGCCATGATTGGCTCTGGCTCTAATGGGCTGGAAAGGAGCTTCCCAGGAGAGTTTCCCAGCCTTGTCCTGGAAGAGAAAATCTAGAAGGCATGTTCATGCCTCAGAAATACGAAGAGGTGGGGCTGATTTTTGCACTCCGTTATTCCAAAGCATTCTCAGGCAGGGACCGTGAATAGTTTATAATAGTCCTTCTTTGAAAACAAACACACACACCTGGGAATAATTGCATTATTCCCAGCCTAGGAAGTAGGCTGGCCTGGAAGAATAAAAACCCTCTTCATTTTCAGAAACATGTTTACCTCCGAACAGGGTTTTTAACCAGGAAAAATGTTGCTGGGTTGTGTCCACTCCCTTCAATGCCCTCTTCCCTCTGCCCTTCCCACAAATCCCCCACTTCCGTCACAAGTTGGCAGGAACTTACTGTTCCTCAGGCCTGGGCAGCATGCCAGAGCCCTCCCATTTTCCGGAGAGATTTCTTCTATTTCTAAGTAGAGTTGTTTAAAACCGGATGCCACGTGGAGCCCGGACTCCTTGCCCTTCAACCCCCCTCCCAACCCCTGGCCCCACAGAGCAGGCCCCTCCTCCCTTCACTGTTCTTGACTTTGGAGCCTGACAGTGTAACCGCAGCCAAGCTCCTTCTGTGGAGTGGGCAGGCGCAGGCCCCCAGCCAATGGGGGTAAGCTGCCAGAGGAAATCTCACTGGGCAGTGAGGCTCCCGAAAGGCCTTCCAGCCACCTCTTCTCTCAGGCCTCTCATTTCCTTCTCCCCCTGCCTCACCGTTCTAGAATCCTGAGGCCAGAAGAATTAGACCAGCTCATCTAGCCCTCAGACAGAGCCAGACTTAAGCCAGCACAGGTTACAGGGAGATAGTCCAGTTGAAAAAACAACCAAAGGAGTACCTACAGCCTTCATTCATTTTGTTCCAATACACAGCCATTCATTTATTCATTTTCTGTCCAACAAGATATCTACCATGTACCAGCTGCTGTTCACAGTATTGTGCTGTCGTGGATCTTATGCACTGAGAGATGTTAGAAATTTAACACAAGGAAAGAAGGAACAGGAAGTCAGCAAAATGATAATAAAGAGAATAATTAGAAGGTTGCTCAGTCCCAGAGTATGAAAATATCCTTTGACCCTGTTGCAATCTTATAGGTGCATCCAGGGCTCACCAGGCCTGAAGCCCAGATCTAGCAATCAAGAAGGCCGAAAAACCTGCCCAGAGTGTAACGGCTAATGGGAGTGGGAAACTGGAAGTGTAGCTTTGAACTTCCCCCAACACATGTATGGACGCGAGCCATCTGAAGCTTAGACGGGTGGGCCCTGGACCCAGCAGCAGCAGAACCCCCTGCTCACGTCTGGGGGGCAGCTGGCAGTTAGAGAGTCTCCCCCAGACCAGGGGAGGGGCCCCTGACCTCCCTCCCTGGTGCTGCTTTTCTGGTTGCTACAGGAACTATGAATCCATTATACCCACAGGTCGCCCATGACGATGGGTGGGGGGGACCCAAAAAGAAACAGCCACTGCCTTCCTTGAGAGCTGTGGTGGTGTCTACGTCTTTGCAAACCAAATTCAGTTTTCCACAGTGAACTAGTCACCTGTGTGGGAGCCTTTACCACTGTTCCTGATTATTGCTTCTTGGGTAAGGCCTTCAACATTTTGCTTTCAGTTTCCAGCTTTTCTGTCACATGGATAGTGATCTATAAGTACACACTCATTCATTCAAGGAGCACGCACAGGGTGGCAACCATGTGCCAGGCCCTGTGCAGGATGCTGAGAATGCTCTTTGGGAGGAGGAGCATGGGCCCTGCACTGAGGGCTGTAATGGGAGATGCAGGCACCTAAGAAATGCTCTCATGGAGGGACTAGTGAGCTGAGTGTCTGGGACAGACAGGAAGGCACTCAAGTGTCCCTGGGGATGGGGGAGATCTGAGAGTTCATCCAGTGTTGGTTGCACTGTGCTAGGCACTGGGATCTCAACAGGCTTAGCTCAGGAGGGACAGTGAACTTATTCGAGATGAATGAATAGAACTTTCCAAGGGAGGCACCTGATGGGGAGGGAGCCGGGAGCTGGGTAGTCAGGGTGAATAACTTGCGCAAAGGCTTACACAGGAAAAAAGGCTAGGTTCACAGCAGGCCAAAGAGTATTTGCCGTCTGGGGGTGGGGGTGGCCTGACGAGGACGAGGGTATGTATGGAGGAGGTGCCAAGGAGAGTTTAGACTTTGTCCTATTACAAGAGGGAACTATGGAAGGCTTTTAAAGCATGACATGATCAGATCTGAGAGATACACTCACACACATACATACACACATATATACTACACACACACATATACACATATAGATATCTATAAAATAAACTAAAATATCCATTCTAAATGTATACACACTTGAAATACATATTGCATATATTTCACCCCTATAAATCTAGATAAATCAGTTACTATGCTTTTCTTCCTCTATTCACTCTCTCCTTGTCAGTCAGAGGCCTGCACATTGCCCAGAATTACGATTCTCTTAGCAGAAATATAAAGAGAAAAACACAGTTAATATTCATTTGGGGTATTTTTCCCTTTCTTCCAAACGGTGCTCTTGAGAATCAATAAGGAAGGCTCTAGGGAACTGAATTTGGAAGAGGAGGGGAGAGAGGGGTGGGCAGACAACAACCCTCCCAAGGGGGCCTCCTCCTGCCCCCCCCCCACCACCGACGTGGGGGATGGCACAGAGGGAGGCTGGAGATGCAGGCGGCCTGCGGAAGAGTCTGCATGACAGACTGCCAGCGCCTAGCATGTTGAGTACTAGGGAGAGGAGCAGAAATGATGCCCGCACCTGCGGCCGGTTCAGTGTCTTCCCACCAGCAGATCTCCACGCCAGGGCAGAAAGGGTTGAAGTTATACATCAACAGCTGGCTGAGTGCTTTGGTGGGGGGGGTCACATAGTAGTGGGAGGGGCCACACCACAGGGGGAGGAGCCCACCCCAGGGAGGAGGGGCATGTGGGTCCTGAAACTGTTGAGCTCCATCTGAACTGGCTGAG